GTCCGCTGGGTTTTGCCTGGTGGGCTCTGGCCGAGGCCCCGTGGACTCGGGGCCGGGCCTGGTGGAAGCCCTGCGGAGTCCTCCGGGTGGCGGAGATGGGGCCGGAGAGGCGCTCGCAGAGCCCGGCCTCACGGCTGGGGAAGCAGGTCTGGAAGAGGACGTCTCGCTGTCGACGAGGAAGTCCGGTCCGGGGCGTAACCTCGCTCCATACCCGTTGGGCCCGCGGCTGAGCCGTGAGGAGGGTCGGTCGCGCTAAGCCTTGCCGCCGGCACAGTCATCGGTGCCCGAGCTCGGTGGGGCGCATGGAAAGCTTTCTCCGAGGCGGGAGAATCCTGCCCGGCGGTGCCGGGGGAGCTGGTCCGCCTCGCCGTGCTCCGCCCCTCGGGTTCCAGCCAAGCCCCCAGGTCGTCAGAGAGGCGCCCTAGCTGAGTCCCGACCGCTGGCCCACGGACTGCGTCTGGTCGCGAGTGCAGGGCCGTGGAGTTGCGCGCCTGCAGTGGGGGCTCGGACGAAGAGCCTGTACTCGTGGTGCCGAACAGGGAGCGGTTTTGTCCGTGCGTCGTTCAGCCATCAGAGCAGTCGCTCTTTTAGTGCTAAAGTATGTGTAGTACCTAGTGAAAGACTAGTTCGGTCAGATTTGGACACTTTTTGTACCCAAAAGCAAAGTGAGGAGAAATCCTGTGTCATACCTATCAGCTATGAGCTTATTAGCATGCAGATGCATTTTCTGACCTCATCATGGGTGATCTTCTTCCGGAGAGATGTTAAAATGCAACTGCTTTCCGAAGTGAGGTCTTCTACTGCTTTGACCGCTACGTCTGGATTACAGAAGCTTTATGTTGTATGAGGCTGTGAACCACACTAGGTTTATTTTAAAAGGTAATGGGGATATGCCAGAGCATATTATGTGTCTGTTTAATTCCCTTCTTTGAGCCCATGTACAGCATCAGTCCAGTTTATGTAGCTCTTTCCAAATATCAGCAGTCCTTTTCCTAGGCAAGGAAGGTGGCTCAAACGTTCTGGCTTGGGAACAGCTGGGCAAGGATATGTGTGAAAAATGAATTATGGTTTAGGGCAGATATTTTTAAAGAGGACAAGTGTGTTTGAGCCTATTCATACTACAGTGATGAAAGGACAGATTCATGGTTTTGAGCCCCTCTTGCAAAATATCACACGCTAGGGCTGAATTGAATACCTTGAAGCCAGCCCTGACTATTGACATGGAGCGTGCTGATGACAAATGATTGGCTACGGAATGCTCTTCATTATTCTGACTGTTCATTCCAATCAGTCCTGGCTAACAGGATTTTTACAGAGAATGGGAAATGCCTCTAGGGGAAGCCTCCATTTTGATTGCTGGGCCTAACTCATCTTAATTCTGTTGCTCCTGAGTTTGCTGTCAGGTTTTTGAGATGTTAAAGCATATATTTTCCAGATTCCTGTGCAGGATGCTTTTTCGCTAAGAGTCTGGAAAATAACTCGGGTTTTCTTGGGTTTTGGCGCTAAATAAGTTTGGCTGTGGGAAGCATACATTCTTACAAAGACAGAGCACACAATTGAAGTTCCCTTTCTTGGTAGTTAGAGATTTTAAATACGTGTCAAATGAAATGCAATAGTCAAGGAACCAGAGCAGTTGAATGACTTGCCTATACATTTCTTTTGGCATGAAGTGGGGGGTGTGTGTGTGAAATGTTTATTTCTTCAAAGCAATAGGTAATAAAAATGCTTTTGAAAATTAATTAAATAAATGTGTAGTATATGTAATACACTTGAGTACGATCCATAGATTAGAGTGAAATTTCAACACTCGTTCAGTTCACTTGCTTAGCGAACTCAGTTATGTTTTGATACCCAGGTAGACTAATTAAGCATAGCAGTAGAAAATATGGGGTGTAAAACACAGGTGACTATTGAGCTTAATATTTCAGTACGTTGTAGAGAAACTCAGGAATCTAGAAAATGCTAAACTGGTATATGCTAATTTGCCATGAGTACTACGGTATTTTCAGGCAGCTAATAAAAATAAAGTTGAATCAGAAAACAATCAAGCTTGTGTCACGCAATCAAAATGTCAAGAGATTTATCTACAAATAGAAACACAAGGAACATCCTTTATTGTATTTAGCAAAGAGTTCGAGTATCCCACATTTCTTTCTAATCCTTTTTGTGTGCTGTTATGGCTGTTTGTTTTTCTGATTAATTTTATGAGCATGAATGAGATTTTAAATGCCCTGGAATGCACAAAGTGTTTCATCTTGGACTGGCAATTATAAGCATAGATTCAGTTTTGCCGTTTGAAATGAAATTGCTCTGGAGTCATTTGCTATCAGTGACAAGAAAAATCAGCAATAAAAGCATCTAATGGAATTTTTAAGCAATGGAAGTAGCCTTATTTGTGGTAGCATTCTTAGTACCCATTACCAAGGATGATGGAGTGACACTCCTCCTAGCTTTAATGAGTTGCATGTAATTGTAGCGTGGTCTGCATCAGAATGCCGGGGGATGTAGATTCCTTCGAGGTGTGCTTTTAGGAAGCCCCAGAACATCTTGTCGCGATGGCGTCTTCCTGCATGCTCTCTCTATTTCTCTGCATATCGTGTTTATCGCTGCTTTTAGACATCCATTCTGCAGCACGCTTTTTTCTTTTCTGTCTTTTCAGACAGTTACTTAGGCCTTCTAAAACCGTCTGTCTTGAGAATAAGATAGGGAAGCATCTGCTTTCTTCAGCATCAGCTTTATCCAAGATACCATATGTTATTAGATAACATAATATTTTTCATGTTGTTACTTGTGTAGCAGAATAACTGCAGGACTCTGCCTAATTCAGGTTAAACTGAACACTTGAGAGAAAGATGTAGTAGGAATTTACTATTTTTACATGATTGCCATTTTTCTCGCATGCTTGAGCTTAGGTATTATCTTTGCTCATTTCAGGACTGCCTCTGAATCGCAGTCCAGAAAGAAGAAACAATCGTGTTGATTTAAGTTGAACATTTGTCTCTAAGATTAAGAACAAAGCCATGCCAGTGCTTTCGGAAGACTCAGGTAACTAATCTGCATGCTTTCAACAGACCAGTGACTGAAATCTTAGTGTATGTGTTTCACACAGGAAATTAATTCGAATTGGAGTTACATAAAATAGAATTAAGATAGCTCAACTAGATTTCTTAGCAATTACCTAAAAGAAAACAAGGAAGGTGGAGTATAAATGGTGGAAATGAATAAAGTTAGTCAGATTTCAGGAAATACATAGTTTCATAAGAACCCTAGAGCCCCTGAATATATGCTGGTAGACAGGCTCCTATGGACAAACTTGGACCTCTCAGTGTAACACTGGCTTCTATGCATCCTTATTAAATATCAGCCCTTCTATCTCTGCTGCTTGCCGTGTCACTTCTTAATATTTTCTGAATAGGTGTTAGTAAGCTTTGTTAATATTCTTCTGTTTGACTTTAAAAACAGTGATTCCACTCAAGGCTTCCTAACCAGCTTCTCCAGTATGCTACCCAGAGTAAAGTCATATACGCTAATGATACTGAGTTTTAAAGCAGAAGTGAGTTTGAGTCTCCTGGATCCAAATGCGCTTTAAAGTTCATGGAGAGAATAGCCAAAGGAGCAGATTTTAGCTCCCACCCTTTTTTCTTTTTTGTTTTTTTGTTTTGTTTTCCAGTCATGGTCCGCCAGGAAAAACCTGATGTTTGTCTGGCCCTGTGCACTGCAAAATTGGGATATTGATGATTTAAGCACTTTTTAGAAAACTAGCCACAAGCTTTGCTTCCACTGCAGTGGAAATCTGCACCAGTCCTTTCCTCTTCTGGTCAGGCCTGACTTCTAACAGGTGCCTCAGGGGTAGAAAGGGCAGGATAACACTTGTAAGCAAAGTTGCTCGGGAAGTAGCGCTGGTAGCTGTGTAGCAAAGGAGGTAGTTCAGTCATTTTGTGAAGTCAGCTGTGGCACTCTAATAACTCAAATTTTGTTAGGGCTAGCTGTTCTAGAAACAAAGGATAATTGACATGAAAGGGGAAACTTCAAAAGTAATGTCTTTAAATATATATATTGTTTTGGTAGCTTTTGCCTTAATATGATATATGTTATATCTTAAGCTGTGTTTGCCGCTTAAGAAGGAAGCGTTACAAAATGAGTGGAAGATAAGCACAAATCTCTCTGCAAACTTAATGATCACCAAGATGGTACCCAAGTAAATGTAGCTGATGTTAAGTCTGCAATAGAAGGTCCCATGAGACATGCTATCTACAAAGCTTTTGTTGTGTCTTGAATCTAAATTTAGGATTGCATGAAACTTTGGCCCTTTTGACATCTCAGCTAAGACCTGATTCAAATCATAAAGAGGAGATGGGATTCCTTAGGGATGTCTTCAGTGAAAAGAGTCTCGGCTACCTGATGAAGGTAAAAGTTCATTTATGAACATACGTTTTCCTTACAGTTACTTATTATCTGTTCCCTTGATTTATCTATTGTTTACTTTGCCAAAGCTTTTTTTTTTTTTGTAGAATTCTATACTGACCAAAGCATGTATTTATTTAAGCAGAAGAATTAAGAACATTCATTGACAGTTAACTTATTTTGTTCAGAAAAAACATTTCTGCCTTGATTGCCAAAATGCAGATACAGTGCCCCATAGTTAAAAAGCAGTGTGAGATGGCTTCATTTTTTCCCTTATGCTGCTGAAGTCTTAACAGATTTTCTGGCTATCTGTGAAACTAACATGAGCAAAAACAGAACTAAGAGACTCCTAAACAAAACAAAAATAACCCCAGGAGAGGTTATTTTTCTGACACTTATCTCAGAAAGATTATATTCCTTAAATATAAAAATATTCCAGTGTAGGTATATTTAGGAAGATTTGTATCTCTCTGTAGTAATATACCTGAATAATCTTTTTCAGATTCATGAAAAACTCCGTCATTATGAAAGACAGAGTCCAACTCCTGTTTTACATAGTGCAGCAGGATTAGTTGAAGATGTGAGTAAAAATTCTTGTCTCCTTGTTTTCCTATTATTTAACCCTGCTTTTCTAACAAATCAAAGCTTTGCAGTTGTGCTATATGTGTACATATTTCTCATCTTCCACAACTGTTTTTGGAATCTGTTGGCTAGTTTCACTCATGATTGATCAAGGAAATGAGAGCTTAAAAACACCATGTCATTAAATGTCCAGTGAAGACAGACACAGGCAGGTAGAACAAAAGGATATTATTAATAGCCTTCATAAGGGAGAGGCTGCAAAAAGGATTCAGTCCCTTCTTGACAATAGACTATCCCAGCTAAGCATTCAGTCTTAAGGACTTAAATCCGTTACAACCCAAGCAGCATTGCTGTTCACGTAGAATGGTTTGGATTGGAAGGAACCTTGAAAGATCATCTAGTCTAACTGTGCTGCCATGGACAGGGCCACCTTTCACTAGATCAGGTTGCTCAAAGCCCTGTCCAGCTTGACTTTGAACATTTCCAATGGTGGGGCATCCACAACTTCTCTGGGCAGCCTGTTCCAGCATTTCACCACCCTCATCGAAAAAAAGTTCTTCCTTATATCCAATCTAAATCTGCCCTCTTTCAGTTTAAAACTGCTGCCCTTTGTTCTGTCACTACAGGCCTTGGTAAAGAGCTTTTCTCCGTCTTTCTTTTAAGTCCCCTTTATATATTGAAGGGCCGCAATAAGATCTTCCTGGAGCCTTCTCTTCTCCAGGCTGAACAACCCCAACTCTCTCAACCTTTCTTCGTAGGAGATGTGTTCCAGCCCTCGAATCACTTTCATGGTCCTCCTCTGGACGCACTTTAACAAGTCCATGTCTGTCTTGTACTGGGGACCCTGGAACTGGATGCAGTACTCCAGGTCGGGGGGGGCTCCCCCTCATGGTCTCATGAGAACAGAGTAGAGGGGGAGAATCCCCTCCCTTGACCTGCTGGCCATGCTTCTCTTTACGCAGCCTGGGATATGATTGGTTTTCTGAACTGCAAGCACACATTGCCGTCATGTATCTGATTTTTCATCTACCAGTACCCCAAGTCCTTCTCCGCAGGGCTGCTCTCAATCAACTTATCCCCCAGTCTGTTCACAGAGCAAAGTTGTATCTTAGATTTGTTTGTAACGTGCCACGTGCCTGAAAAAGTGAAATTTATACTGCCTTTGACAGCTCTTTACAAGTGGCTTGCACCCGTTTCCTTTGAAAGCATAGCAAAGGGCTGTGGAAGGTTTGGGAGCTAGAATTCCTCCCTTTGCAAAGCCAGGAGACCCCCCTGCCCCATGTTAAGCTGCAGCATACCCCCTCTCCCCTTTCCCACAAATAGCCTACTGCCTCCATAAAAGTTTTGGCACTGCTACCTGTCAAGTCATACAAAATTACCATCTTCTAAACAGCAGAGGAGAAGTTTTATACAGCACTATGTGACTTCCCTATCTAGAACCCTTTACAGGGAAAGGAAACCTCTCTTGCCTCAACCCCTTGTCCCTTCCTCCTCTCTCTTCTCCCACCCAACCAGCCTAGTGCAAAAGTGCTTCCATTATTTCTCTAATCTTTTGTTTGGAAGGCCTGAGACTCCACAGCATATTTTGGTATCCAGGCTTTGCAGGGGAACGAGGGAACTTCTGTTGCATGTTCCACATGGGTAATGCTACCTGGTTACAGAGAGGATTAAACTCCTTTATCATAGTACAAGCACAAGAGTGTTGTTTCACATATCACTTACAGATTCCATATAGAATTTAAAATTTCAGAACTTGTTCCTGAAATTATATTGGCGGAATCACTCTTAAAATGTATGTTTAGGGGCTAGGATCCTGATTTCTGATGATGTCTTCCTGCACTATCTAATAAAAATAAAATAGATGAAGAAGCTTTCATTTCTTTTAGGATTCATGCACTATTGATTGGCATTGTTTTTCATCTGTGTACACTCCTTTGAAGGATGACTGAAATTAGCAAACACAGAACACTTGCTTGCAAATATATGATCTTGTTTGGTTGACTCCTTTTATTTTGAGGTTGTTAATTTTTATTTTAAAGGTAATAGAAGAATTGCAGACCGCACCAGTGAATAATGAAGAAAAAGAGCTACTTCAGCTGTTGTCAACACCACATCTCAGGGTAAAAAAACACACCAGAGACATTAACAAAATTCCTTTGCAGAATTCCAATAGAACATTTTGTAATGGAAAAGTTACATTAGAGAGTCCCTAAGAGAAAGGAAAAACCTCCTACAAACTACAAACAAGTAGTTCTATTCCACTGTGATTTCCTGCACAGGCTTTAGGATGTGAAGAGGATTGAGAAGACACAGCGTAGGCCTTTCGTGCATAATGCACCATGTTGTCTTCCCTCCCCTCCTTAGTATTTTCTGAGGGAGCAGAAAAGAAAAGGATACCATTTCTCAACTTCTTGCTTTCCATAGTCCACCTCCATTCTCTAAGTTTATTTAGGCTGAGCTTTGTTATTGCCTGGATTTATTTTAAATGTCAACATATACCAATGTGTAGTTTACATAATGGGTAAGATAATTGCTAAATCTTTGTTTGGGGATTTATGGTGAGGGTGGGAAGGGGGAGGTTTAAGTTCGCTGTAATGTTGGAAACATGAGAACTGGAAACTGTAATATTACCCCATTACATTACTGTTTCTTATTTCCTTTATGCAGGCAATGCTTGTAGTACATGACACTGTAGCACAGAAGAACTTTGACCCAGTCCTTCCACCTCTTCCTGATAACTTTGATGATGATTTTGATGAGGAATCAGTGAAAATTGTTCGGCTAGTGAAAAATAAAGAACCCTTGGTACATATAAGATTAACCCATCTCTAGTCATAAAACTCTGTAGTGCAAAAGCGTTATTGTGAGTATGGAGGAGATACTTGAAGATGTCGTCAGATAGTCTGCAAAAACTAGCAGTGTTCTGAAGCTAGTAAAACAACATAAAAAGAACACTTTAGTAAATACACCTTCACAATTTTGCGTGGGATGCTTTGTAGGCATGGATTTATAATGCCAGTTAATGCAGGGAACACGATCCCTGAGGAAACTGTATATGTTGAAGCAATTATGCTTATTATACATATTAATTCTTTTCATATTGTAGCTAATAGTCAACGAATTAATACCTTCATTTGCATGAAAGTCAGTGATGTATGGTAGGATTATGTTTGATAGCTGTATGTAAACATTATATTGACATGGTACTAATTTTATACAAATGGAAATGGAAGAATTGATTTCCTAAGAAAAAAACAATTGTGTCTGGGAAGAAATCTGCTAAAGTGCTTTTTGTGTATGACAGTAGGTAGTAGAAGAGAGCAGTGGCTTAATTCCTGATTAAAGCTTTATATTGCCAGCAAAGGTGGGAGAAGAAAAAAAAAAAAAATCTAATTACTTAGCTTTCTTTGCTTTTATATGTACAAGTGCTGGCTGTATTCTATAAAGATTCAGAAGACACATAGAGAAAGCTTGTTGTAAGAAATTCTGTTTTGCACACTTGAGTGACTTTGATCACCACAATAATGTAGGTAGTGTAAGCACTCAGCAAAGTTGGCAGAAAGGAAGGTGTGTACACCTTGCCACAATCACATGAGATGGGCACAGGCAAAAGTTTAATAATGGTGAAAATTGTCAAGGAGGAAGACAAAATTTATAGAACAAATTAATTCCAGTTTAAAAGACACATTAGCTTACATGTTATTTCACCGCTCACTGTATTCTAAGCAAATTTCTTATGATGGTTTCTTGTGGGGGTGGGGGGGTATGTTTTATTTCAGGGAGCTACCATCAGAAGAGATGAGCATACAGGAGCTGTGATTGTAGCAAGGATCATGAGAGGTGGTGCAGCTGATCGCAGTGGTAAATTTCTGAAAAGGGGATTTAAAATTGCATTTGTAAACTGTTTTAAAATTTCCAAAATTATGCACGCACACACGTACTGCATACACATACCTAGAGCGATAATCTCTAACCGAATCTGATGGTTATTCATTCCAAAACCAGTCCTTTGGACACAGGTGTTTAATATATGTATAGACTATTTCATAAAAAAAAGTAAGTCTATCAAAATCCTAATAGGCAACTGTTAAATGTCAAGTCTTAACTAGTATGTAGGTGCTCTGTGTAGTCAGTGGAGGGAGATGGACATTGTTGGAGAACAAATCGTCCCAATGAGCTTTAGAATGGGATAGGTCACTGCTGAAATTGCCTTTCTTCCTTGTTGACTATAAAGGGAGCCTACGTGGTAAGCTCACTTGACAACTGAATTTCAGGTGTTTAGTGGCCGGAGAGACTTCTGTGCGTAGGCTGTCATTCAGCATGCTTTCAGGATCTACAGGGTTAATTCATGCAGTATTTGATCTTCCATTTTCTAGAAGCTGATCATCCAGATTTTATTAAATAAGCTGAATTGGCCTTATATGAGATTTATAGACTCCAAGCCTCATGCACTTTTTTTAATATACAAGTAATACAATCCCAAAATTAATGAATTACTGTGATGAAAAAATACTAGCTAATTACAGCTTTCTTCTTGATCGTTACCATTCTTCAAATTAGTGTAATCTGATAAATGTAATGTGAAATGACTAGAGTGTGCACTTAGCATTTCTGTATTTCATCAGTAATCTATTAATTTAATTAGATACGTTTTCCTCTAAAATAGCCGCTAGGAAAAAATGCCAACGGGGGTGGGAGAGGTAGGTCTAAGCTTTAGAAGAAAGAAAAGAAAAGAATGGTTTTTACCTTTAATCTAGTATCTTGGTTTAGTCAGTGTATCGTGTTGTTTTCTGTTTGCTTTACTGAGAAATTCTTTATTAATTACATAATTAATTCTTTATTAGTTACATAAAACAAGTACAACATTTCTTACTGAACTGGATAAACAAGCCTAAATCTTCTAGGGGCCTCTTCATGGCTTGTTAAAAAAATTAGTCCAACATTCTTTCTGGGACTGTGTAGTGTTGATCTGTCAGTTGATGGCCATGTCATTCCTGCCTTAATAGTCAGCAGTGTGTCTCCTGACTACAAGATTTGATCATCCTCATGAAACTATTCCAGTTCTGCATTCTTAGTGCTGATCCAAATATAGAGGCAGTGATTTTCCAGAGTATCTTGCCATATGTCCTCTATCTCCACGCTGGTCTATGAGACTGTGCAGCATGAAAGAAAATGCCATATGGAATAAGGGCGAGAGACTTCAGAGCATGTTGCCAACAGAGGCACCTGGCTCTAGTAGGAAATCCATTAAGCTGGGGGAGGGAGGAGATGGGGTACATGCTATTGACTTAGGCTGGACATCAGAGGAGTGGTGCTTTCCAGTCTGTAGACTTATTTTAATTTACTTATTATCTTTTCAGGTCTTGTCCATGTTGGAGATGAACTAAGAGAAGTCAATGGTATTACTGTGCTTCACAAACGACCAGAAGAAATAAGTCAGATTTTGGTCTGCACTGATTTTAATTTCAAGATCTTTTCTGTTGAGTGATCTAGTAATTACAATAGATGATGAAATTTAACCACGAGTTTGAAATATGTATAGAGCTAAAAGATGCAATCCCTGCTTGTCTTTGCATTAAGAGTTTTGCTTCTCCCAGTGGATTAGTCTTCTCATTTTGACTTTAGAAACTGTGATCTGAATCGGTACCAAGTAAGATACAAATAGAAAGTTACATGTTGCTCTGTCAAGAACTTACCTTTCATGCTTTGTTTATGACAAGCAACTTGCAAATTAAAAGTGCATTCCTAGAAGATAAGCAGTGTATTCATAATACAGTGTGTTAGGAAGCTGAAGAAAGTCTCGGCTGTGTGTCCAGTAGAGCTGTCAGTCTGTTCTTTACCAGCAGATTCCTTGCAACATTAGCACATTCTTGTGTCAAGCTTCTCTAATACTAACGCCTGCAAATCTTGGTAACTTTCTAAATCTCCAAATCTGTGGTCAGCCTGCTGCATTGCAGAAAGTGTCGTAGCTCTTACACTTATTTGTCTCCGACTCCCCTCTTGTGGCTTGGTTCCCCCTTGTCTTGGCGTGGAGTGAAGTTAGGGACACAGTAAAAAGAATGGCAACACTAGGAGACTGAAGTATCTGGCATCAGTTCCATCACCTAATTTAAATGTAGATCAGAATAATCCTGAATAAGGAGAGTGACTGCTTTTAACTTGGGGGAGGGAGGATCAAAATCGTATTTTGAAATACTGTGTAAAGTTTTATTTGTGGGGACCCTGGGATGCTATTCATCTGTCCCGTTTTAAATGCCTGCAATGTAATAGTTTCTTTTTCACGTTTTATTTTTTGAGGAGGAGCTACAAATGTTTGTCCAAGCTGATTGTCTGGGTTTTCTTTTTAATCTGTGCAGAATAGCAGGCTTCTCTAGAACACAGTTCATCTCATCCAAAATCAGGCATCTAAAACAGATCAGATAAACTATTCTAGAGTTCCAAAGCACCTAGAAGTGCTTTTTAATTTACTATAACTCATAATTGAAATGTACTAGCAAAGATTTTTAGAGTGAAAGTAGATGTTTACTTTGTAGATGTTTACATTTCACCCTAAACCAGTTAGCCACAATGTGGGAAAATACAGCAATATTTTTCAAAGGAGCACTTTAAAGTGGTTGGTCTGCAAAAACTTAAGTTAGTGTCGTACTAAAAGCCACAGAAGTATTTAATGCCCTGTGAACTGTAATCCAGAAATTAATGCAGTTGCTAAAAGCAAATGAGGGAATTTTAATGCAGGTCTTAATATTTCTAGCCAAGTAGTTACTGTGGATCTCTCCATAGGGAGGACGCTGTTGTGGAAGATTCATGAAACATCATGACAGTCTCTGTAATGAAGTTAAATAGTGGATTAGCTTGGCCTATTAAAGCTGAGAAGAAGAGACAGACGCTAGCTCATAAACTGGAACGTGATTAGTCTGCATTGTGTCCTTGTCCTGCTTTCAAAGTAAAAAACATTTCTCTCTTTCTTAGGCTCAGTCTCAGGGATCAATAACATTAAAAATAATTCCAGCCATCAAAGAAGAAGATCGTCTAAAAGACAGTAAGGTACGCAACTTAGTGAAATACTGAAGCATGTGTTCTCATATTTACACAATGCTGGCATCTCTGTAAATGCAAGATTTCTGCTGTTTCAGTGAGGAGTGTCACAGACCCATAATTGAACTAAAAAGATAGTAGAGCAGTTTCTTGTAAAATGCAGTGCCGTTTTATTCAGTAGAATTACTTAGGTGACTTCTCTCTTCTTCATGATCTTGGCACACGTTCTTTCATAGCATTTCTGAAATCTAGCCTCTTCTTTTTGTTCACGTAATTAAAATTGGTGTTCCTACCAGTCTCCTCTTACCATGACAGCTGCTATCTGTCCATTATCTCTGGGCATTTTGCCACTTGCTTGAGTCAAAACAGGCGTATTTGCAAACAGGGCTGCATTCATCATTTGACCCCATTAGCCCACTGCAAACATCAACATGCCTTTCTGAGTGCTTCATTTGCTCTTCTTAATCAGCAATGACGTACTGTTCGACTGGTCCCTTACAGGATTCCTCTGTCAACCTCTATCTCTGCTTCCCGGCTCTCAGTTGCCGAATTTTTCCTTGAAGCCCCGCAAATCACTTTTAAAAGTAGTTCTACTGTGATGTGTTAAATAGTGGTAAGATACAAATCCGAAGTTGAATAGTAGATTTTGATGCATTAAAGGAACTTTTTAAGGACAGTCTTTATAATCAGGCAACTTAGCCATAAATCCCTTATTGTTTTCTCCCTCCCCTTATTTTTTTTTTCCTTTGTTGCATTTTGTACTTTAATGTAGACTGTGCACTATGTTTCTTGGGACTTTGATCTTTGAGTTTCATGTTCCACAATGCCAATACGTAATGACTGGGTATGTACTTGAAAGTTAGTTTATTTTTCTGCATAAGTAACTAAGTCAAAATACAGATGCAGCTTGCTAGGTTTCAGTATTTCTGAGTACCATAAAGGAGAGATGAAGAGTATATATAGTTAGCAGTGTAAGCACTGGGGAAGCCTTTTAAAGGTAGTTTGAAATTCCAGATAAGACAAGAAGAAAGGATGTGTTACTTTCTTTTAAAGGTGTTTATGAGGGCGCTTTTCTGCTATAATCCCAAAGAAGACAGAGCCATTCCCTGCCAGGAGGCTGGGCTGCCATTTAAGAGACGACACGTCCTAGAGGTTGTAAGCCAAGATGATCCCACATGGTGGCAAGCAAAGCGTGTTGGAGATACCAACCTCAGAGCAGGCTTGATCCCCTCAAAACAGTTCCAAGAAAGGTTTGTCAATGAAGATTACAGAATTTTTTTCACACATATAGTGTCATACTGATTTTATGCTGCTTTTTTTTCACAGGAAATGAAGGGCAGGATCATATATATAGAGAGAGTAATATAAAGTGCTAAAAAGCTCCATCTTCTCCAATTATATAATAAACTTCCTAGCTTTCCTTGGCTAGTTTGCCATTGACTTATACTTTGTAGCATGAGGACAGAAACACTCGCTAAACAAACATGTATGAAATGAAATGAAATGTGGAATATCAGTCTCTTGACCCTCTTGGCTTATGGAGACACTGTATTTCACAGACTTGTACTTCCATAGTATAAGAGGAAATGCTGATTTATTGTAACAATTTTGAATTTATGCATGTAGTTGTAGTCAAAAAGTGTATCTGATCTTCTGGCTCCTAAGAGAGTATTTAGCTTGGACCCAGATACCTTCTAGAGCTTGAAGTTTCTCTGTTTTTACAGCAAGATATGTGTATCTTCTAAAGCAAAAATATCCCTCAAGTCTTGTATTTACAGTACAGAAGTCATATTTAAGAAGGAATCTGTTTTAGGCCACTGGCCTCATTGTGTGATTCTTACTTCAAATTACTGGCTGTGTCTTGTTTGGACTGTAGGTGTTACAAAGGTGGGGTATCTAAGAATTAAACGGGTCTGATTCTGTTGCTGGCCTTCAAGATTTGCATAAGGTTTCTAATAGAGGACTTCGCTCCACTATATGAATGCTCCTTTGAAATACTAGGCAAATTCTTCCTGAACAGCTGTGTCCCTCTTCCTGTGCATGCATGTATGTCAACAGATGCAGCTGCACTGCAGTCCTTTTTTTTTTTTTTTTCAGATGTTGTAAACTACATTTCAATGTGTGCAAGAATATAGAAATTGCTTCAGTGTCTGTTTCCCCCAAGTGACGGTGTAAATGCCTGAGCACCTTCTTTAGTCTGTTATGAATGTTGGTCTGTTGCAAAAAAACACTTAGGAAAAAAATGTGGTTTTCTTTGCCAACAGTGAGGGGTTTCTTGGGAGTTGGATTTTTGTGCTGGGTTGTTGGGTTGGTTTTTTTTTTGGTGTTAGGTTTTGGGGGGTGGGTTGAGCAAATTCAAGACTGGGAGATTAGGAGTTGAGCTCTGGTTCACGATTTTAACACATCAGAAAATTTTTACTTGATACTCTGTTCTTACATTTTCACACAAGCTGGGTAACTTGGTTTGTTTACTAGTAAATAATGGAAAACTCCAAACTGATCTGGAAGGCAATGGATAATTTCTGAGTATGCATAGCTGCAGTGATCATTTTGGACAGAGGTCATCTACTTTTGAGTTCTCTTTGAGGTTGGTAGTTTTAGGATTGTGGCAGACAGGAATTTTGCGCATCCTTTGTAAAAATAGTAAATAGAAGTTGGATTCTCAGCAGAATTACAGTAGAATAGAATAGTTGTTGTTTTCTTAATCTTTCAAAAAAGATTGCGTGGGGAAAAGGAAATAGAAAAAAATTACATTGATAAAAGTAACGTGCTATTGATTTCTGCGCTCTGGTGTATGAAAGCCTAAAATGTTTTAGAATCTTCTCTCTCAGTCAGTTATCGATAGCAATCTGGGACCCTCATAGTTTTAAAGAACAAGTCTTTTAAAACGTTGAATCAGAGACATCTTATATTTTTCAAGGAAAAGCACTATTTCATTCTTTATTTTCAGTGCTATATGTGTAACATGCTATAAATTCTTTATAATTCTGAGCTTACATGGCTAAAATATAATTATTTTCTATTTAGACGACTGACTTACAGAAGAACAATAGGCACTCTGCAGAATCCCAGAACTGTGAAGAAACCATTATGTAAGTGTTCTGTTCCTTCAGTGATGTCTTAGTTGAAACCAACTTCTCAGTATTTTTCAATAATGATGTGTTTGAATATGTTTTGTGTAAACTGTCATTGATTGATTTGCATGGATACAAGCTGCCACATAAGAGGATTTGGGTTTGAGCTTTATCCAGTGTTGCTAGTGCCTATTGTTTTCAAAAAACATGGTTGTCCCTCTCTACTTTCAAGAACATGAGGCCTTACACATTGTTTAGCTGCTTTAAAATTTGCTACTGTTCACATTTTTTCTACAGTTTGAAACTTGAAAGCTGCAAAAGTAACCCAATGCACGTTTCTTGAAATTCTTACATAGGTGCATGAAATTACTCTAAGCTTATATGAAAATAAACTGTAGCTTTAAGGAGGATAAAAATCACTGGAGCTGGCAATACCATCTGCATTTCAGGCTTAGCGTTACAGAGCTGGTCTTAAGTAGACTTTAAAGCGATTCTTCGTTATAGCGCTGAAGCCTCTGTCAGTGAAAAAAAAAAAACCACAAAAAACCTACTACTTATGAAATTGTTAGTCAGTGATGAAAGGCAGAAGACATTCTGTATTATCCCAGAATATAATGTTCCTGTTGCTCTTGGGTACTTCAGCACAGCTATTACTGATGTGTGAGGCAGCTCTGTGACTGTGTGAAGCCAGCCATTGTGCTAGGAGTGCCACCCTCATGTAGACTAGGAATCTGGAAATTGTCCATCTTCAGTGATATAAGTGAACTTCTGACCTGTGGTGCATGGCACATCTCATGAAGAGGTACAGGGATTCTTATGCTACAAAGAGGACAGAAGATGCTCAACCGAATTATAAAATAGCATTACTGATTTAAATGAAGCTTTTCCAAACTAGTTTCCATTACATTCAATGTTAGGATTGCTACTTAGGCTTTTTGTCAGACGTTCTTGAGACAGTTAAGCTGATAACTGGTTATAATACTAAATTTTAGCAAAAAAGTCTGTAATCAGTTGATAAGGGTACATTACTGCATTATTTTTTTTTTAAGATAGAAAAGCCTGTTAAGCAAATCAGACCAGAAGAACCTTCCTTTCCATTCCCTCTAATTTTACTCAATCATTTGCCAGTCTTTTAATATCATACCAACTCTGCCTTTCATGCTAACTACAGATGATCAGTCTTCTGATAAAGGTAGGTACTCTCCTCGCTCATTTTCTGTCTGAATATAAACAACCAATGCATTTTCTAAAACACTCGCTAAGCCCCCAAGCCAAGGGAATAGTAGATATAGCTTGTTCCTACAGCAGTTTCTTCCTGAGTTATTATTTAAATTAATTTAATTTGGATTGATGACTTAGGTCATCAACAACAGAAAATAGCTCTGATCTTAGCTATGGATAGCATATATTGCTACTAGTATCTTCTGTTAATGTAGGCATAATGTTTTATGAGTATGCATTGGCATTGCTTGATTACATACCTGCATGCAACTATTCATTAAAAAACAAAGCTCTTTCTCTGGATTGGCGCATTTTGTTAAAGGTTTAAGCTGCATATATTTTTGCCTATGGTTGGGCTTGTCCCAGAACCGTACACGTCCTTCTTAAAATGAGTAGAGGTCTGTGGATATTGCAGGGCACAGGTGTCTAAATTTTAACAAGCCAGGTAGCCCTCTTTCAGGAAATAGAACTCGGTATTTATCTTAGGATTGCAGTATAGTGTTTTGCAGCTAAGTATCATGGTTTTATTTTGCATACTTTTAGGGGCCTTGGGGGTGGTCGTAGTTTGAGGAGGGGTAGGTTGGCTTTTTTTAACATAGATTTGTATATTATTTTACATACATGCATATGACAAAAGCATCAAATCTTTACCTTCTTAATAAAGAATTAACTTGTCAAAATTAAGGTGTTTAGAGCTCATATTTCAGTCATCTCCGATTCCCTTTTTTCAAGCCCAAACGATATTGAAATGTCAGAAGAGGCAATATTCTTACACAATCATACCCATTTATAAAGTCATACATTAAAAAAAGAGCTCTGTGTTTGCAGAGTCTTCTTTTTTACTTAGGTCTGGATATTACACTTTTAGCAGCAGCACTGATCAAATGTAATGAATGCTGAAGAGCATAAATTCTGGGAACCATAAATACTGACATGTAAAATTCCCTTGTGCAATATTGAGATCAAGGATTTCTTAAAATATGAACCACTAGCCAAGGCAAATAATTTTTTGTATCATTGTGTTAGAAAAGTGTGTGCAAATAATGCAGGATATAAAACGTCTCCTTCCCTCACCAATGAGCCAGACTCATATCACAGGCACTGTTTAAGATGTCTCCCTCCTCCCCTCTCACTCTCCTCTCCCCTGTGTCCTTATCCACCCTCCCCCCCCGCTTTTTAATTTACAGAAGACTGTGACTGTGAAGGATATTTCAATGGACAGTACATAGGTGAGAAACCAAAATCCCTTCCCCCCCCCCAAAAAAAAACCAAACCCAAAGCACCCCCATATTAAAAAAGAAAAACTAGCTTATTTACATTAGAGTTAATTTCCTATACATTCATAAACTAGATTATCTTTGTGCAGAGGCATAATTGGACTTTGGCATAGCCAACACTTGGCAACTCAATGTGATATGAAGGGGTTTTTATTATAGATTGGGTGCTTGGTTTTCTACCTGATATGCAAATTTTTCATCTATAAGATTAGCATATGTGCACTGATTTGATTATTAAAAAAAAAATTTGTGAGAGTAACTCGTATTCAAAGACAGAGTAATTTCTAGCTGAACAAGCTTGAAAATTTAGATAAGTGGAGACATGATTTAATATATCTTTTGTTTTCCTCTACAGCTGGCTTACGCAGGAGCTTTAGATTAAGTCGTAAAGAGGAGAACAATCTGAATGAAGGAAAGCAAGCAGAGCAGGCAGATGCAGTAGAGTTCCTAACATATGAAGAAGTCACAAAATACCAGCAGCAGCCTGGTGAACAGCAGAGGCTGGTGGTTTTGATTGGTAAGATACACAATTAGTTCAAAATTTTTCACGGATCTCCCTTTTTCCTTATCACCTGCACTCCAAGAGGCTTTCTTTAGGTGTTTAGTTTTGGGTTTTGTCATTCTGGTGGGTTTTTTTAAAGGTTTTTCTGGTTTTGGTCAGAAGTTGTTCTCTTCTTTTAAATGACATTTAAAAAAAGAAACCAAACCCCCCAAAAATCCCCCAAAACATCCAAACTCACCAAATCCTTCTAAAAATAATGATGCAGGACCATTTCTTATTTTTCTGATTCGCTTTCCATTGGTTTTCACTCAAACATGTGCATACTTATGCTGTCAGAACAAGGTAGATGTTAGAATTATCTAAAAATTTTGCAGCAATTTTAATTCAGTGTGCTTAACAGCTTTGTGTTAAACCAGTTTCCCAGGATGTCATAGAAATCAAGGGTATCTCATAAAACTGGCTGCTAAGATTACAGATTTTCTGACTTAGTGCGTGACAAATGTTTGTCCAACAGCTGTTCAAGGATTCAGTTTGTTCCTGATGATATTCTTCAAAGCAGAATGTGGCAGGTCATGAGGTCTCTCATGTACAGGTTTCTTCAAGCACGCTCCTGTATCTTATTATTTGTGTGAAATTTATATTATTTATTGTCTTTGCAGTATTTCATTCCACACAGAAATCTGTCAGTCAGTTCTATTTTATTAGGTTGTTTGGGGGCCAAATTAAGTGAGCTCAAGCAGAAGGTTGTGTCAGAGAACCCACAGGATTATGGTGTTGCAGTTCCACGTGAGTAAATTTACTAACTTCTGTGTGTTGCCACTTTATTCCATAAATGCTGTCTAATAGTGTAGTGCTAGCTGCATTGATGAATGGTAATTTGTGTTTTGGCTATTGATTATATGCATATTTCAGAAGTACTTCAAATTATTTTTCTCATTATAATATACTATGTTTGCCCTTAATAGCTGAATAGATCACTACATAACTTGGCACATATGTTCTTTGGAACTCTGTCAACTCAGTTAATTTTTTTGAATTGTGTTTTCCCAAGTGAAAAGATTGCATTTTCTCAGTGTCCATTAAAAAAATGAGAAACTGAATACAGGAAGAAAAAATAAGATTGTAAATTGCAAAAAGAACTAGTGTGAAAAACTAGTATCTTAAGATTCAGCCAAAACATTATGTGTGTTTAAAAGAGGAAGATTTTTCTTCAGAATATCATACCAGCTAAAGTTTAAAAAAAAAAAAAAAAAGTAGATAGCAATAAACCAAGTCAAAATTTTTACAAGATTTTAAATTGTGATTAGTATATCTAGGCTGTTCAAACAAGCCAGTCACAGTGATAGAGAAATTAGTGATTCTGCTGCATGGGTTTGTGATGAGTTACACTGAAATTTTTTTGCTGGATTAATTTCTAAAAAAAAAATATATTAGGTAAAAGAAAAATCCATCAAATCCAACAAGCTACTTTTGCAAACCAAAAAATTAACATTGAGGGCACTGTTTATATGTTATTTAAGACTTTCAATAAACATCTGTCATGCAGACATTCAATTAGTTAGCAGCAGAACTCATATGCGTAATTTTTACTTGAATTTAAACACGTACACAAAAAAATAGCAGACATCACTTTTATGGCCAGGTATAGATTTGTAGACTGATCACCAAAGCTTCTCCTACAGTAATAACAATTATTAAAAGAAATTACGACATCAAAGGTAACGGACACACATAATTATGTAAGTTTCACAGTAGCATGGGAAAACAGCCAGGGATATTCTTGTTCTAAATTCAGAGGCAACATAATAGGACTTTATATATTTCCTATTTTTATTTTCTAAGTTTCAAAGAAAATCAGAGTCCAATATTCCAAACAGTTAAGAGATACTGTTTTCCATAGGATATACTCTACTGCTTCTACCAGATGTAAGAAGTATGCCTCCTCTTGAACCTCATGAGGTTTAACAAGGCCAAGTGCAAGGTCCTGCACCTGGGTCGGAGCAACCCCCAGTATCAATCCAGGCTGGGGGATGAAGGGATTGAGAGCAGCCCTGCCGAGAAGGACTTGCGGGTACTGGTGGATGAAAAGCTGGACGGGAGCCAGCAATGTGCGCTCGCAGCCCAGAAGGCCAATCGTATCCTGGGCTGCATCAAAAGCAGCGTGGCCAGCAGGTCGAGGGAGGGGATTCTGCCCCTCTACTCGGCTCTAGTGAGACCCCACCTGGAGTACTGTGTCCAGCTCTGGAGCCCTCAGCATAAGAAAGACACAGACCTGTTGGAGTGGGTCCAGAGGAGGGTCACAAAAATGATCAGGGGGATGGAACACCTCTGCTATGAAGAAAGGCTGAGAGAGTTGGGGTTGTTCAGCCTAGAGAAGAGAAGACTCCAGGGACACCTTATTGCAGCCCATCAGTACTTAAAGTACTTAAAGGGGGCTTATAAAAAAAAAAGTTCGCTGCCATCTTTAGCAGGGCCTGTTGCGACAGGATAAGGGGGGTAGATTTAGACTAGATACAAGGAAGAATTTTTTTATGCTGAGGGTGGTGAAACACTGGCACAGGTTGCCCAGAGAGGTGGTGGATGCCCCATCCCTAGAAACATTCAAGGTCAGGTTGGACGGGGCTCTGAGCAACCTGATCTAGTTGAAGATGTCCCTGCCCACGGAAGAGGGGTTGGACTAGATGACCTTTGGAGGTCCCTTCCAACCCAAACTATTCTATGATTCTAATTTTTGTGTTGGCTATAGCACGCTTGGGAGCAAAACAACTTCATTTTTGGTCTTACAATTTTTGAGATTAAGTTTAAAACAAAATTATAATGTTTGATTTATATTTTATATTAATTTGAATTTGCTAGTGTGTAACTATCTTGTTTGAGGTCACGAAAACGTGACTGGAACTAAACAGAGAAAATACAGTTGTTTGCAAAGGCTGATCTGTCTCCCATGTCTTGCTTCCATTCTCTTCTAGATACAACCAGGTCAAAGAAAAGTCACGAGAAAGAGGGAGTAGAATACAATTTTGTCTCTAAGCAATCATTTGAGACAGATGTGCAGCAAAACAAGTGAGTTAATTTTAAAGTACTGGCATAATTGACCGTATTTCAAAAACATTGCTAGTTAAATCTTATATCCTATGAATACCAAAATCAGGTGTAAAGTTGGACTAGCTGTGTTAGAAAGGTTCAGCTTTCCAAGTAAAAAGCTCTTTATTCAGTCTGGACTGTTAGCGTGAACTCAGAAATTTAGTAAGAAGCAGTTTAGAAACAACATAGGGCTAGTAGGAGGATCATAAGTTAGAATTGAAGCCTGCATATCATAAGTAGTATGATTGGTCAGAATTGAATCTAGTGAAAGTAACAGATATTTAGTTGGGCCTACTTATTCTCCATTTAATATGATGGGTAACAAGTGTTATGCATAAGTCCACTTTAAAGTGTGTTGTAGACTGAATCTGTGGATATAAAGGACTTTCTGTAAGACTGTGTTTCCTGAAAGTACAAATTTTTGGCTAGTCTCCCAGAAGATGGAAGAATTGGGAGTTCATTTCCTTGCCAGCTTTGTTCTATTTTCTGTGAAAAACATCCTCTTTCTTCTATTAGGCTTGAACATCAGTCAACTGAATTAATGCAGCTTCTTCCCCTATTTGTCAGTAGTGCTGATTAGCTATTAGTGACATGTGAAGAAGACTATTGCTACTAAGCAACCAGAAGGAAAAAAAAAAAAATCAGAAAAAAGAAACCCTTCCGCTCCCCTGCCCTGCCCCGATTTTCCACCCTTCCCCCCATTTGACTACTGTGACTTCAGGAAACAGCTATCAAATGTTGTAAGTTAAATATTCTTTGTGGATGGTATTTAAAAATGTATTGACTTTTTAGATTTGTGGAACATGGAGAATACAAAGAAAATCTGTATGGTACAAGTCTTGAGGCAATCCGGTCCGTGATGGCCAAAAAGAAGGTTTGTTTGGTGGATGTGGTACCTGAAGTAAGTTCTGCAGCTTATTTTAAAGAAAGCAAGTATTTCTTCCTAGCCTGCCAGCCTAAGTAACTGTTGTTGTTCACCATTTGTGGCTACTTGCTCTGCAAAGAACAATGATACTCTCAGAACTTGTGTTTCTAACAGGTGGCCTGACTGCTAGCTAAGCGGAATAGGGCTCTTAAGAAAGCAGTGCAGTGTTTACGGTTCCTAGATGTCTAGTCGATACAGCCTAGATGACACTTCATCAGTTCTCACTGTGGGATTTTTCCCTTGCTGTAGGAGAAATGTGCATCACTTTCCTAGCCTGCTCAAGTCCTAGAGGGAATACTTAGAGCATGGATGGGTTTTTCGTTCTTGTTCCTTCCTATTGCCTCTGAAGCGTTACTAGCATTGTAACCAGTGCCAGCATATCTGCTCTTAATCCCTCCATACTGGGAGTTAATCTTTGAAATTTTGATTCAGATTTTGTAACTGGGCTAGGAAAAGACTTGTAGTACTACCTCAGATGAATTCCAGGTTTAAAATTTCCAGTGTTTGGCCTCTTAAGTGAAGCAAACCATAACTTGCCTGTCAAGTCAATTTTCTTATACTTTTCTCAGTATCTTTTGCGATGTCCTTGTTCCTGGTATTGCAATGTGTAGCAAGGCAGGTGTGCAGTTAGACCATGCTGCAGGCAGCTCATGTACTCCTGTAAGCTAGCCAGGACACTGACATTAACTTTTCTTTTGAAGAGCAAAAGGTTACTGTGGTCAGATGTATAGTACACAGGACTTCACACCACAGTGTATTCTAATGAAACTGTTGAACCCAGCTTGAGTAGATCATTGACGTATAACAAAAAAAAAAATTAAAAAATGGTGTAACAAAAAAACATCTGTTCACAGGCAGTAAAGCACTTGAGGACTCCTGAGTTTAAGCCTTATGTTATCTTTGTGAAGCCTCTCATTCCAGAAAAGAAAAAACATGTCCTAAAATCTCCCATGTCAGAAGAAATCTCAGCCTCCTTTGTAAGTATTCTAACCTTAATCTCTTCAGACGTGAAACAATTATTTGGGCTAGCATTTCTGTGATACGGAAGAGCTCCTCTTCTATGACAGCAAGAGTCAGAGTGGGGCACTAAGTGGGTCCTGTGCCTTTCAGCTGGAACATTAGATTTGGATTTTTGGCTCCCTTAAAACTTGACTATATAAGTAATGTGAAGCAAAGTGCACATCTTCCATGCGGATCTGTGTACCTCACTCAAGACTGCACCCAGGGAAGCTGCTGCTGAACTCAGATAAACTAATAATCATTTTACATTTCTGATGAGCAGTCCCATCAAATGGTAAGGGTAGCCACCTATTACTGATACCCTGAGTGACACCCACCCAGGCTGTTAATCAGGAACACACAAAATGTAGCATGTGGATGTCTTACAAGGACCAAACCTAGACCAACTGCAAACTGGTGATGCATAAATGTGAACAGAAATACTGAGAGTGCATAATATCATTACTTTCGGTAACCTGAACTTGAATTTATACATATCAGAACTTAGTTCTCGGTAAGTTTTCATGTAAGCCCTTAAAATTATTGAATTTGGGGTCAGTGGGTCCAGCATTCCTTTTCAACTTTTGAGGAGCATGATTTCCAGGTGTTAGGTTAGGCAGCAACTCTAACTTCATAAAATGCAGTGTCACCATCTTACATCCCTCCTGTAATATGTTTTTTCCCCCTCCCTATCACCTCTTGCATTTTTGAAACAGCCTACCAAATTCCAGCAGTTAGCATACTACTCCTTGATCTCAGTTGTAATATCTTACATACCCTTTCCTAATCGTAGCAGCTCTTGTTTCATTTCCTTTCAAAGTAATGACTTATTGTGCTAATATATTTTTAAATGCTAGTAGTGAAAAAGACATGCTGTAAATTTCATACCACCTTCTTGTGTTGATCAGCAGGATGAAGAACAGCAGGAAATTATTAATTCAGCAGCATTCATTGAAGAGCAGTATGGCCATTTAATTGACACTGTACTGGTGAAAGAAGATCTCCAGAGTGCATGTAATCAGCTGAAAACTGTGTTAGAGAAACTAAACAAGGATTCATTCTGGGTGCCAGTCAACTGGGTTAGGTCATAGCTTATCATCTGTTTAAGGGAAAGATTATATAAAAATGTCTTGTAAAGATACGGATTAGAAGAGGGAAATATGTCAAATTCACTTCAAAACTGCCGGTCTATCTAGAAGCTAATACATAAAGACTGTATGAGAAAAACTAAACAAAGTTAGAAGCTGACACTGCCTTCCTGGATCAAAATCTTGAATAGCAGCTGTCATTTAAAAGTGAATACTCAGACTAAACAGATCAGTAAAAGATTGGAGTGACTTTTAGACTGTAAATAGCGCATTTTGTACAGTAAAGTTTCACAGAGGGTCTCACACTTCCAAAGCATTTAAGTAGCGCTAGGACACTAACCAGCTAGAATTTTCATCCTTTGGCCACAACTTCTGTGGCTAGAGTTAAGGCATCTGAACAAGGTACATTTCAGGAACCAGTCTGCCTACAGAAAAAGCTACTTTAGCTAGGTGGGAGGGATGTCCTCTGGAGAGTGCTTACGCCATGTCAGTTACTCAAAAGTTCAGCTGGCTGACAGGCCAGCAAAACGCGTTTCCCTTCACTCAGGATCATTAGTTGCAAATCCTTTCCAATTAGGCCCTAAAACTATGTCAGATATATAAGTTGTATATATTTTAGTAGCTGAGGGATGAGTTGTTTTTTTCATGTCCATCCCACATTTCCCAACGCTTCCACGTTGTCTTGCACAGGTATGAATCTGCTCATCCATAGCGTATGCCCACTTTCCCAGTCTCTTCCTACTGACACAGGACAAATGTGAAACCACCTGTGTGACTAGCCGGCTCATAAACCAGAGACATTTTTTAGTCTACATGAAAATAACTGCATATGATTTAAAACAGGACTTCTAAGAAGCTTATTTTCTACAAGACATGTTTGCAAATGCCACCTGATGGGATACCACCTTGACACTAACATAGCGGCTCCAAAAAGGGGCTAAAAGGAGGAGGCTGAAGTACCAAGTAGCTGAGCTACAGGTCCAAATCATCATCCTTCCAGTATTTATGACTACCTTTGTTCCACATCAGGTAAAGGCTTCCAGAGCATCTAATTGGCTACAAGTAGTCCTGAAGAAGAGGACTCTATATGTATTTCAGGAGACTTGAATATACAGGATTTTTAGATGGATGTTAATAAGAAAATGCAGAGAGATGATTCTGGAAGCACCTATGCTTTATAATTATTTGAAAAAAATTATGAGTATTGTACAGGTGCATGTTAGCTGAAACTAGTTCTTGTATTCCAGTGCCTGCTGAGGTCTAATCTTTCCTGTGTACTGTGCCCTTTAACAAGACCTTTTGGTGCACCAGTCTTATTCCTTGCCTCTTAACAGTATGATGTTATTCTTGTTCCACTGCATTTAGCAAAACTAACAGCATTGCATATTAAAAGCACATTTCCTATATACCAGTGTCACTGAATCTGCATTAACTCTAGCCCAAAGAGCTGTATAGGACAGTCGCCCATATCCATCTTCTCCAAACCTGTGTACCCTAGCAACTTTCATGTATTATCCTGCCTATAGGTACTGAGGTTCCCATTCCTACAAGAATAAGCACTTTTTACAGTCAGATATCTGCTCTGGCTTGTCAGAATGCTGTCACACTGGTAGCCTCAGCAAATGTACCAGGACTCCTTCACATGCAAGTGGCCCATCAGCTCTGCCATTAACTCTCTGCAATCTTGTCCCAGCACAGCCAGCAAAAGTAATGTGGCTTACAAGAGAGACACATTGCCAAGTGAATTTTGTGACAGATGTACCTTCATCCTATGAAAAACTGGGTGTAATACTTTAAAAACTGTTTAAGTAACAGCATTTCAAACTAAGTTGCTTTGTGAAAATATGAAATGGGCAGATTGATCTCACCATAGATCTATATTGCAGATTACAAGCAGGTTTTTATAATCTGCAAGACATAAACATGTAGATGATACAGATTTGATTTAAAGAAAATAGGTAAGATACTATCTAAGGGTCAGAATTCACTTAAAGCAAGGTTGCTATCTAACATCTTAGAATATTCCAAATGACTAGTAAATAAATTAATTTGTATGCCTTATGATCTAACATAGTCTAATAGTAGAAATATGCATTAAGAGAAGCAAGACAAATGACATAGAGGTACACCTGAAGTTACAATAACTGAAAACTTAAGATGTTAAGATATAATATTGCTATTAAAAGTGACTGAAATACTCAGAGTTAAATAGTCTTTTTTGTAGTGTATGTAGATACTCTGTATTGATGTACAGTCACAGATACTAACTTGGGATACTGTCAGAAACATTTCATTTTTTTAGGTTCGAAGTAAGGGATGGTGAGAGGCTATGTATTATATGCTAAAGTTTGCAGGTAGCTAAGATGAGCTTCAGTTGTAGGGAGAAAAAAACCAAACACGTCCAATGCTCCTATTTATTATAAAATCCTAGGAAGAGGATACATGCAGAAGATGGTTGTTATCAGGACAAGACTCCAATTCTGACAAAATACTGAGTCCCTGCTGCATTAGCTATGCCTAGTATAAGCTCCTTCCATTAGGGAGAAAAAAGGTGAGAAGAGATTCTAAAAATCAGAATGCAAATTTACTTTAATTCAAAGTCCTGCTTTGTAAACAGTGCCAAAAGTTCTAAGTCAAAGTACTTAAGCAAACTGAAATTCCTCCCCCTTATCCCTCTCCCCACCTTGCTCACACCTAAAATTTATGTAGTCTTTGATATTTCTTTTCATGGTTTATAGTATTGAAGTATGAGCCTCTGTTAACATCTACAGTTTTCAGGTGGTCTTCCATACACTGGCTCTATCTGAAACTGCTTTCCTTTCTAAAAATATGTTGTATACAGCACATCCAGGGCATGCTTCTGCCAGTGAGCTCAAACATGCATTGATACGGTTTTGAAGAATCCATTTCTCCAACCAAATTTGCCATAGGATTAAGATGACAATTTACTATAAAATATGTACCTTCAATATGACTATGAGATGTGCACAGATTATAACCCTGATACCTCTAACCCAGCTTTTTAGGATGTGTACATTTTTTTTATAAAGTGAAATCTGTGTTAAAACAGCATACCTAATTCTCTTGTGAGGAGATAAGGGATCTTGTAGCAGTCTGCTTAAAGGTGTGTGGTGTCCTGCCATAAAAAAAAAAAAATGCTATGGGTTTCGTCATCAGGGCTAATTAGGCACTGTAAGAAAACCGTAATTAATAGAAGTATAATTCATCCTTCCCCCCACACACACACACTCTTACACATCCTCTTCCCTTTGTAGACCAGTGACTTATTAGCATTCTCAGTCAAGTCTTCTGTAGGAGAATACATAACACTATTTGTTGCTGTACATTCTTCTTGCACCTCCTGTCTGAGAATATGCCACAGGTTATCTTAGTGATACCTACAGATTTTTAATATATATTTTGATCAGCCATCATTGCCTTTTTCTAAACAATAAAGATTAGCTTTTTTTTTGTATTAAACATATCTTAGTTGGTCTAGAATGGGATACAAAGCATGCAGGTTCAAAAAATGCCCATAATCATCTACCTTTTACAACCTGGTATCCCAGATACCTCAGATATGAGGTACTAAGAATGCACTAAAATACTACTTTGTTTTGCCCTTTCAGATAGTATAGAAAAACTTGTTGTAGAGAACCTGAGGAGGAGCAAGGGAAATATGGGGGACAGTTACGAAGATGCTTTCCTTTACAGTTGTCATTGGTAATTGAGCACAACCTATCATACTCTGTGTCTCGGGGGGGGGGGGGGGGGGGGTTGAAGGCTACAATTATAAGTAGTAAGACCCGTGAGCTTTTCAAGTTCCTAATTAGCAAGTTGAAAGACAGCAAAAAAACTGCCTAGGATTCAATGGCTTCCTAAACTTTCAGTGAAAAGTTGGCTAGGGCTGTTACTGAAATTAGGTTCCACTTCTGTAATGTAGAAGTTCTAGTGATCTTTTTCTAAAGAAACAGAATGTTATGGTTTATTGCTCTGCCCTAACAGAAATTAGTATTTTTGCTTACACATGTGAGTGAGTATACAATAGAAAGATTAAGTCTTGAATGTAATATACCGACACATTTTCTTTATACTAAAATACTGGCAATATTTATTGAGAATATCAGAATAAAATAGCACAAAACACAACTTCAGCAAAGCAGCCATTAGCACTAAGACCACACATGCTTTTTTCATATAGGCAGCCCTTCAACCCAAATTTCTAACTTAATTTTTTTTATAGAAGATGCTTCCCTTGCTCCCTTTTCTAATTACCTAATGCTTTCTCACTACTCTCAGATTTTTTAAGGTATAGTTTTTTTTTTCTAGTTCAATATACAGTTAACTAAAAAGCTGTAATTTTAAAAGCATCCCAACACAATTTATTTAGTTTGAAGTTATAATAAAATAATATTTATACAAAACAAAAATTAAAGTACATCCCTGCCAACCACTCTCAGAATTCTTTTGATCATAGGTAGGCTTACAGTCAACAAGCCTCTTCAAAATACCTTGGTTTTCCACAGTGATGTTCATTATTTTCCTGTTCTGCTTGTCCCTATTTGAGCTATAAACAAAAACGAACATGTATGAAAACACATTTTCTGGCTAGTAAAATTGTATTTGTAAGGCACATACATACATATATATATATCATGGTCAAACAAACTCGTGTTATCTGCCCCCATACACACACACGTTCCCCCCACAACCTTTCAGTGAATCCTGTAATCAGACATTTGCTTTGGTCAACATTTCCATAACAGCATGTTAAAGGCTGTACCTTTATCGCAGCTCATTGTCATATCCTTTCCCTGCACAGCCTACATAACTTCGGTTACTCTTTTACAGCATTCACGACTGCAGATACCACCCAATAAAGTAACCTCACTTGTGAAGATCTAAAAAAGTAACTGTATGTGGAAAGAAAGTAGCAACAGAACGCTGTTGTGAATAGGTAAGGGGAGGAAATGATAATACACTGCAGTTCAGTAACAGGATGTGTACTACATGTGCAAGCTCTTTCAGTGCAAATATATATCTGCAGATACAGAACCAGAAATCACCTTGCTGGCTTGCCTTGGATAGCTGGTTGTGAAGTTAACCAAGTGTGGGGAAATCACGATGACAAAGCAAGTTTGGTGTTGCAGTCCATGCATTAGGGCAGTTTGGGAAAAACTTAAGGAGAACTGAGGTTGGCAGAAAAAAAAACCCAAGACTATACCTAGTGAAAGACGCAAAGCCCTAGCAAGGAGCAACACTTCCATGTCTGGATGGTATAGGATGATAGGCAGCATAAATTTGCACAAAAGGACAGTGACTAGTGGAAGCTCTGGAAGAAGAAAGAATGCAACATAAAAGCATTTCAGTAGACACATTTTATACACAATGAAAAGGGTTAAAATCTCCAAAAAGTGGTTCACTGAGTGTTTGTTGCAGAGGGTGTGCATGTGTGTACAAAACAAATTTTGTATACAGAATGGACTGAAGGCAGAACTCTGTAAGGACACCATAGCAGATGGGGCTACAGGGAGCTTGAGGATGAGAATGCAGTTGAATTCTAAAAATAACAGCAGAACAGAACTCTCAAAAGGCATTTAACTTCAGGAGATGAGGTAGGAAGGTACCACCATCTAGTAGGTGCTAGTTTAGCTCCCTCTGTTATAGATGGCCCCTTCTGAAGCTGAAATGTTTATCAAGCACTCCTTCTACAGGAGCCCTTCCGTTGCATAATATAATTATACAAGAGAAGCTTTTCAATAATATTCCAAAATGGAGTACTACCTTATTTTATGCTAAGGCAGGAATTTCAGAAAAAGTCCATGTTGAATGCCATACAGCAAAAGCACAATACTTTAAGAAGCACTATGATTTAATAGTGAAAAATCTGACAGAAAAATATCTGGAGATATCAGTGTGCATAAGGGAAGGAGAAATTGTATTTTGTTAATGAACAAAAACATATTTTGCTGATCAGTTTGTTTTTTGGATCTACACAACTGGTGGCAGGTCAAACAAGGCACAGACTAGTACTTGGAATCCCCCCCCCCCTTTTTTTTTTTTTAAAGTCCACTCCATTCAGATAGAACAGCCACCTGTAGATTTAAGAAAGTGGACAGTAGGCACCACATAGGCTTTTATCTTGCTGTGCTGAAGATTCCATTAGCTGGACTCCCTGCTTCTCTGTGCTTTTATCCCAAAAACCTGGTGTCTGCAGGATCTTTATGACTAGCTCCTCAAAGGCATGTTGCACTCCATCCTGCGTCTTGGCACTGGTCTCTGGTGGAGGGGGAAGAAAGGCGGGGAAAAGTATTTTATCTTATTTGCAGGGAGTATTCCACTTTGTAAGAAGTTCTTTTGGGACTAGAGAGAAGATACAATTTTTTTTTTTTTTTTTTTTTATGAGTGAACCTCTTCTCTATTCTCCCTTAAAGGCACACTGAAGTTGAATATGATAAACAGAAATGCATCCCAATCTGGAGCATTCAATTTTTCCACCTAAAAAAATTCCACAGCTCCCCATTCTCTCTATAATGAAGAAACAGAAATTGTTCTCAGGTTGTGATAGTAAATCTACAAGATTCCACAACTAAGCTGGAAAACAAAGAATGCAGACAGAATTACATGTTTTCCCCTACGCATTTGTTCCCGTTCCTTCTGGAAATCTTTTCAAGAAGCTTCACCTAAAAGGCACTTTAAAAAAAAAACAAAACAAAACAACACACCACCACAAATTTGTTCCCCATCTTTATATCTTCACATTGTACATTTTATTGTTGGTCTAAGAATACTGTCTTTTATGTAGCTGCAACAGAAACTTGGAAACGAAAAAGAGATTACCCAAGGTCCTTGCTGACATCAGTTAGGAGAAAAACTCCAGTCTTCTGGGCTCTGAATTAAAAAATCCTGCTAGTTTCAAGAGAATATAAAATCCATGCCTACACAGTATACAAAGTAAATCTCTTTCAGAGAAAAGTACTTCCAACAGCAGTCAATGCAGAGCATCTCTGAAAAAAGCTAAAACCTACATCCCTGCATATGAACTAATGCAGCAAAAGGAGCCCATATTAATTAGGTACTAAAAAAAAGTAAATCAACCTATCAACGTGAAATACAATTGTATGCTTCATTCACGCTTAACATAAACATATGAATAGACAAGTTTCTGGCACAGAGTTACATACCTATAAAAAGCAGTGAGCGTTTCCTAGCAAACTGAAGTCCTTCTCTTCTCTCTACTTCACGATCAGGCTGCAGAGACGAATGAAGAACATGACTAAAATAAGCTACACTTGCCACTTTTAGGAAGTCCCTAGAAAAGCACCACTGCAGAAATGAAGTTTTGCTGAAAACAAAAGTCTATAAAACCATGTAGTAATCAGCAACTGGATTTTCCCGCTCTACAGGCTGTTAGGGGGTCAAATTGAACAGCAGCAACATCAAATCAGTAGGAAATGAATGTGTTGCTATCTTCTGAATCAACTAGGAGCAAGATACATGCCAGAAGGGAGGTTTCAGTAGTCAAATAGCTGAAAAGGCATATCAAAGGATCTGAAAATTGACAGATTTGGAAGGGGACAGAAGAGAACCTAGTTCAGGATAGCCACACTGGAAACCTGTTGTAGTAAAGCAAGAGTTGAAACATCTCACTATGCAACAGGCATCTAAGATATGTCAAAACACTCCAGAAACGTACAGCAACTAGTGCACCTCACCCCCACACAGATGCATACTCTATAGCCATCTGAAGAGCTGAATTCTCCTTCCCCACCACCTGTCCGAAACAGAGTCTGGTCAAAAAGAAAGCAGCAGTTTTGCTGTTGCACTACAGTTAACTTCAACGGTATACAGCAGTTTTTAGGCAGAACCTCTCACTGTCTTAAAAGAATCTCTCCCATCAATTGCATGTCTCCAGGAGAGTTTCCATTAAAATCTTTAACAAGAGCTGCTTCAAAAATGAGGTAGCAAGTGGAGCCTGCCCAACCTAGGTTCCTCAGTTACAGAGCATATCACCTGCTCACAACAACAGATGTGTTAGTTTCAGCACTTAGCTCACATTTATACTCTATGATGACTGAGTAATCTGTGGAAGAGCATAAGAGGATGCATTTCTAAACTGACCTTATCGGTTTTATTGCCAACTAACATCTTCACAGTGTTGCTTTTGGTGGTATACATTTCCAGCTCATTCAGCCAGCTCTCTAGTCCCGTGAAAGTGTCTTTTCTTGTAACATCGTACACTGGTAACAGAGGAAAAGGAGCTTAACAGCTGTAAAGTCTTGAACAATGTTTATTTCATTATGGCAGAACTACTAGCTAACTACTGCCCTGAAAAAAAAGCAGTATTAGGGAATTACAGAAAGATGCATCAACCATATCCTCTTCCCAGAGCTGGAACACTTTGGCTGTGCTCACCCAAAGTCACTAGGGATAACAGAACATGAGCACCTCTGCAACAGATCTGTGACTGGAAGTCAGACTTACCAGTTGAAATCTTATACCGGTTACTAGTTCTGAATTGGGCCACACAGAATATTTTAAAATAGGTATTTTGTCACCTCATTTAATGTATAAATACATGCATGCACTGCTGCTAAAACCACGGATTCTGAGTAAAAAGTGACTTTTGGTCACTGGTAACTCATAACTGCATTCACTTAATCACTAAGGTTTAAAAAGCTGCATCATAGTCAGAAATAATGTTTTGTCAGCAAGGTGTTCAGCCTTCACAATCCCCGAGAATAAGAATCCCTTCTTTTTCTAATTGGTGTTGTCACACAGAAAGGGACTAGCCATCCATTACTTGTGCTACAAACCTCATGTCTTACAGTAATCACATCAATGGTTTGGGGGGGGGGGGGGGGGGGGAGGTAAGAAAAGACCGG